ATATATACCATTCAATAAAAATATTTACCGTATTCTTTGTCGTGCAAGTTGTGAGATTAAGAGACAACCTATGAATGCTTTTGTTTAATGAAAAAAACTATTGAGTTTTGTATGCCACTTAACTATCATGGATAAAGTAAAAAAAACAAAATTGAAATTATATAAAAGAAAACAACAGGAAAAATAACATATGTATAAGAAAAAACATTGAAAAAATATATGAGGAAAAAAAGAACGAGAATCAATTTATCTGAGTGAAATTTAATATAATAGAGCCATCACAGAAATAGTCAATGGACAGAAGTAAAGACTTTTTTCGCATGTACACCAAAGTCCTGTAACCTGCGTTAATCGTCAACTATACATTGTTCTTGACTTACTGCACGAGTTTTTCTTTCCTAAAGAACTAAGAACAATACTTTTTCCAACATACAAATATGATCAAGTTGATTTTGACTTGAACCAATCAATATTTTAGACAAATGCACAAAACCATTTTCCATTGTACCATTAATAATTTTAACCAAATAAAATACGTGGGTGAATAAAACAAAAAGCAAGTATTATGAAATAATGAAACTTTCTAGTAGACCAAAATTCAGAAAAATGCTGACATCGAAGCATATGCACATAGATAGACGTATTGAAATTAATAAACATATAGAAAATGAAGTCATAGGTCGTCCTAATGAGATTATCTTGATTACATGTACCATACATCTATGCTATGATACGTTTGAGACATGATATTTTCTCAAATTCAAAAATGAGATGGTGCATTTCAAAAATTATTTCCAGTATCCATCCCTTGAAATTTCAAGAAAAACTGCGATGTTTTGCAGATGAAAGAAAGTATAGTAAGATACACTGAAAAGGAAATTGCGTGCAAAACGTGCAGTTACACTACATACAGTTTTTGACACGCAATACGAATTAAATAGATCATATTCGAGTCCAGCAGATTATGGGTAGATGCCCAGGTCAAACGGAACAGGTTAACGGGTAGTTTACGGTCATCTAAAAAACGGCCCGTTAACGGTGTGAAAACGGCGTAAAAACGTTCCGTTAACGTCACAGTAAACTGGTCGTTTCTAGAGCGCCAGCGCACGGTCTAAAAACGGGCCGTTTATTGGTGTAACCTAGTGGAGTATATGTTCTGTAAACTGCCCGTTTTGTTGATAAGTCATTCACCTCTTTTATTTCGCTTCCGCTACTAGTATAAATGGAACGCTGATTTTCTTCGGATATATATGTATTTATCTTAGTTCTTCGTTAGACTATTAGTTAACTCTGCACCATACACCTTGGTCTGCTTGCTAAGTCAAGTTTGTTGTAACTTTTCTTAATAAACAGCATATATATACCTTATATCGAAGTTATAATTTAGAAATCTTTCTCTTCCTCTAGTATATAAGTCATGGAAGCTTGTCTGAAGAGAGTTGCCTTAGTGGACGAACCTGTACTAGTGATAGTACCACACTCCTGAGACTGATAAACCATGGTTTAAAGAGATCCCAAATACTGAAAAATATTCAGAAAATAATATTTTTCAGTTCATGATCAAAAATAATGAAATTTGAAATATGTACTAAAAACGGCCCCTAAAACGCCCCCAGTTAAACAGTGTAAAAACGGTGCAAAAACGGCCGGTTAACGATACTGTTTTCGACGACTTGGGTGTGTTCATTTCACACAACACAGATTAATGCACAATCGTACATTTCTAGCATACACGTATTAGATTGTTCTCGGTATATTACCCAGTGAATATGTTTTATTTTTTTATAACTTAAACTCTCTCAGTACCACATTTGGCATTGGATGACCACAGTACATGGCCGTGTAAAATCGATATCTAATACAGTTACGAGTGTTTTTTGTGGAAAAACACTTATGTTCTTCCCACTGGAAAATATCGCGTGAACACGACATTTTTTTTTCAGTGGGGAATGTAATTAAGTGATTCTCATATTGACTAAGAGACGCGAAACCAAAAGATGCATAAAAAATTACTCATTAAAACACAGTTGCACACGTCGACACATATTTGTAACCCACTTATATACAATACACAAATTTTTAACATATGGACACACAATCACACTTTCACGCATTTCCGATCGTGTGTGTTAACACTTCTTTGATGATGTAGAAGTAGTAGATATCGGCTTTGTATATTTTATCTAACTTTCAATTTGTCACATAGCGCGACGTCTATAAACGATTAAATAAAACATGTTCCTCAGGCTTTTAGAGACCTCCATAAACAAAGAAAAGTGAGTTCTTCATTTATCACATGTAGAGAATGAAATTTCAATTTATTCTAAGTTCGTCCACATTCCAGAAACTCATGCGTATTCACTGAACAATCGAAGAGCCCAATACGGGTTTTTAGAAGCTCAAGAGCGCATTTTGAGCTTTCGGAATCTCAAAATAAATCAGTTCCTTATTTGCGACAAATGAAGAGAAGAACTCATTTCTTTTATTGTAGTTTTCAATGATTTATTCCTATTCACATCAGTCTAATAGACTTTTAGAAGCTAGTTGGATCGAAACCGATTGCAGATTTGGACTCTTTATGGTCAGTTACCTTATATGCAATAACTTTTCGGTTGAAATACCTCTAAGAAAATTTTCTCCATTATTTTGTAGAAGAATGCTAAACGAGATCAAGACATTTTTTAAAAGTATCTCAATCCAAAATTTGTAGCTTGCAAATCAGCTATCCAGGAGGGTTCAAATCTGCAACCGTTTTCGATCGAATAAGCTTTTAAAATTTCTTGATTAAATTGATATGTTCCTTCTTTATCACCATCACTCGCGTCTCCTTCATCTTCCCTATCAGTATCGCTCCTGGCCGTTTTCGAAAAGACCAAGAATTTATGGATGACGTTTACTTATAATTAGTCTGTTAAGCAACATATCCTTTATAAAGTATGTTTTAACAGTGTAGTAAAGTATATTTAGCAGGTTATCCAAAACGCGAAATAGTAATAACAATAAATATGATATTGCACTCATTTACAATTAATTACTGATTTGTCTGTTATAGTAACCTTCTGACGTCATTACTCAATTTACTTAAATTTTCATCGCCAATAAATAGAATTGTTGGATGAATAATATTTTGAATAATATTATCAGGAAGACTATGTAATATAAAAGAGAGTGAGATGTTAAATTATGGTTCATATTAGAACCATAATATTCAAATTGAGCTATTGAGAATATGCCTCCTTTTTTATGCCATCTTGAGAAGAATCTGTTGTGCAATATTGAAAAATTGTCGCGAATAGATAAAGTGCTGTAGTGTGAGAAAACACATGATAGAGATGTAATGGTCACCATACTATTACAATCGTATGGTTCCGAGTCGAAATTACCATAACTTTGAATCTATCAGTAAAATATTTCAAGATCAGAAAATTCACCTGCTAATTTTAGCTGCTTCCGCGTTCATGAAACATCTTAGCGCATTTAACTGTCAGATTAAGAAGAGTGGCTGGCACTCACAAAAGGGTGTCAGTTTTTGGAAGTAAGCCATAGAAGTAATAATGATAATACTGATGTTGAGTTGAACTTTTTTTTGAAGAACGAGTAGAAGAAAGCCTGTTTTTTCGTTCAATATCTATTGATTCAATTCGCCATCAAAACTCAGAAAGAGAGTTTCAGGAGAAAAAGTTACTAGAGAAATTCTTGTTTGGAAAGTAGGGAGACACACACCGTCTCATCCCTCTCCTGTCGATAGGGCACTGAATAGACAATCAAATATAATATTTTGAGAACAATAGCATTGTGTTTCACCACTAAATGTAAGAGAAATGAGCAATCTACATTTTTCTTCAAAAATAAGTTAGACAACTTATTTATCGTACACCAGTATCTTTACGTTCAACAGCGATTGACATATACCGTAGTACTGGACAAATAACAAAAAGGGAGCTATCTCTTCTTGCAGAAGATGCTGTGTACAAACATTGCCGCGCATGTGATCTAAAGGCTGAGGACGAAAAAGAGCGGTCAAAGAAAGAGGGAAGATAAGATACAGATATGTTGTACTTTTGCAAGAAGAGATATTATCTCTCGCAGAAAAGAAGTTAAACTTCTTTTCTGCTAGATGCCTACTATTTCTAGGTGTATGAATTTATGAATAGCAATTTCAGGCTAAAATTCGAAACATGTTGGTAATCTTTAAGTATTAATTCTTGATATGAATGTTTGCTAAATCTTCCGTAAGAAAGAAGAGATGTGCATAGAGGATATTTGGTTTAAGAAACAATACTAATCACTACTAACCTTGCATAAACGTTCGTTATCGCTGTAAAAGAAATGTCAGCAGCATGTAAGGCTGATCTTTTTCTATCATATAGTTACACTCACATATACTATAAAAATAATATTTTACAACGAAATTATAGTTTTACTTTTCTGTTTCTCTTAACATGATAAGCTGGAAAGAGTGTGGAATTCTATGTTATGTATTCTACTCGTACGAGCAGACAATCCTGATTGATGAGCAGACAACTAAGCTACAAGACATTCTCCAAAACTTCTACTTTCTTTGGATTCTTCAACACAACGTTTAATTTTATTATTCACATCCAGAAAAAACAGAAAATGACGGCAAAAACGGAAATAAAAACAATAATAAAATAATTAATTTTTTAAAAAGGAACATAGAAACTTTAAGTTAATATTAAGCAATTTATTTTATACTGTAAAAATGTGATTTTAATTCTTTTTTGTTTTACATGACTTCATCACACTTCTTCTTATTGCTTCTTATGCATTCTGCTATGATTCAGTCTGATAAAAACTACTCAAGAACATGAATTGCAACTTTTTTTCTCGCATCCCGAAACTTTGAAGTGTTTTGACTGGTAGATAAAATGAACTTGATTAAATCCTATTAAAATGTCTTTTCAGGGTTTAAAGAAGACAAACGTGATTTACATGAACATTGCTAGAAAAAAGCCACGAATGAGCATTCAAATTTTCGTTTATTGTTCATTTAATCTTCGTTCTAGGTCTTTGGTTCGTTTCTTATCAATTAATTCCATTTCTCGAATTTTCTTTAAAAAAATGAATAAGATGAAAACATATTTTTCTAAAATACAAAAGGATAGTCTTACCTCTGCTATCTCGTTGCTAATGACTTGCTGATATTCTTTTTTTTTCCCCAAAGATATCATTTGATCAAGGAATGTTTTCCTTTCTTCAATTTCATTTACAACTAAAGAAAAGACAACAAGATTAAACATGCACACATAATTTCAAGCCCTTTGCGTGTCCAGAACCTCAAAGTAGTCCTACAAAAATATTCTTCCTTACAAAACTTTTATCAACATTGATATGGGTAAGTATGCGCATCGCTTTTTCAAGCATATGGTATATGGTATTCTATGCGAAGACGCACGCACGAGCAGCGCCGAAGTGAATGGTTTTTCCAGAGAGTTGGTTGATATCAAATTCAACTTACGTTCGTCAAATCTATCTAATTCTGGCGGTGGACTTGCAGGTAGCTGCTCATTATTATATCGCACTTTAGAAGGATCTATCCCATAAGCCATTATCGAAGAGAGACGTTCTTTTTCTTGCTCTGTACGAACTTCTAAAGAAAGTAAAAAAATTTACTGGTAGTATAAAACATCTTGTATGTCGTTGTGACGTAGATAGCTTTCGATACAATCCAATAAGATTGAAAAGTTCGCCTTACTCATTGGACGAGGACGATAGTCTTCTTTTTCATAAGCTCCAGAACGCACAATGTCATTATAAGATCGAATTCTTGTTTGCTGTGAGCTATTATAAAGAAACATAAATAATAAGTTATAAAAAAAAATAAATTTGTTGCTATACCTTGTGTGTCTGGGAACATTTTGAGTTACTGGTCTTCGATTTTTTTGGGTTGAACTAGGCCCTAGATTTTCTGGCAACGATTCCCCACCTTAAAAAAAACATGGACAGTTTGAAAATACAGTATAGAAGTTAGGAAACTGGTGTACTCACCAGTGTAAAAATAATGAACATGTTATTTACTTACGAAGCATATGCGAAGTTAACTGTCGCTGTTGAAAATTATTGATTCGAGCTTCAGTCATCATTGCTTTGAAGAAAATAATAAATTAAGACTTTTTTGACAATAACATAACAAACATACTTTTCAATAATTTCGCTGTTTCAGGACTAAATTCGCTTCTTCGAGTATTCCATAGTCCACCTTCTGTAAATGGCATTGACGCTTGTTTAGCCATCTGAAATATTTTCAGAAACTTTCTTAAGAAATAAAGCACCAGTTTTAGTAAAATTCTATTTCTGCATAAGGTTTATCATTTTATTTTGTTCAGTGTCTAGAGTTAGAATCAATCAAAATATGGAAATTTAACGATTATAAATTCTATTTCATTACAATTACTGATTTGCAAGGCAAGCATGTGAGATTACGCTATGTGATCTATTCTGTTGCTAAGTAACAACGTTCAGAGTCTACCAGAATGCAGTTATGCATTTAATACAGTGTAATGATAGTATCTTTTGCGGAGACTGTACCTGAAAGATGTATTCCTCATCTCAACATAAAACGATTTCATTACGTTTGTGTCTTCTGGGTTTTTCACTTCGCTCCTATACAGTTGTAACGACTTGAAATCATCAATGTGAACAGAATCGAGATAGGTTGAGCGCTCTGTACTCAACGTTAAAAGCCTGCGTTGATTGCACAATTTTGCACTGAACTTTTGAATCTAACATAATTCGACCGAGATACAGACACTTTAATCTGCAGTCAGTAATTTATCAGAGGCATGTGTTTTGTACATTTGAAGTTTCCTTTGTAATTAATAGAAAGACGAATGGAAATAAGGGCTATTTCAACTACATTCAATGTATAATGAACTATAATCACTGTCATTTTTTTAAAACCTTTCCATTCGATATCTGAATAGTAGTCTTTAGTTTCTTGCCGTTGGCGACAAACAGGAGCGTAGCTTGTCCTTCAGAATGGAGGTTAAATCCAACCAATTTCTACACTCCTGGCCTGGAAGTCTGATTTTGTGCGAGCTTTTATTTATTCGTCTCAGTTAACAATAAATTCGAGGTTTGGATTTTGTTAGAGAAAAGTTTTTTTATGACCTCTCAATGCTTTCTGAATACTATTTATACAAAGGTTGCATGATGTCATTGTGCATACACGAATTATTGCACGATACAAATAACAATAGAATAATTTTTTATTGCACCTTCTATTTCTTAAATTTGAAAGTTTAATATTTTCTTTTTCCTTCTTACGAGAGCTTCCTTTTCGTCAGCTCAGAGTATTGACCCCCTACGACAACTACGGCAGTGTAGCTGAAAATATTATCAATTTTTTTAAATTTGTAGCTATACGCACACTGTTTCTGTTTTCAGCAGCTGAGGAGGGATAATAATGAGAATACATGAGTGATGTGTAGCTGTTCTTTATTGGTAGTTTGTTCTTCATATGAATACATTTGTCTATGCACCTGTCAAGTTATTGAAGAAAAAGTGAAATTGATATTGAATACGTATGCGAGATGTTCGAATTGAGTTTGTATATATAAAATTCGTTTCAACATCAAATGAATAGTCATATACTTCTTTTAACGTACTATTTGCCGAATAAGATCATTTAATTCTACATTCAAATTTACGTCCTTTGAAAACTCGTTAATCTATCAAACGATTTTATCAAATTTTGCTTAAAAAGCGTGTTAAAGTAATTTACTTAAAAAATTTGTATTTATCATTCGCGTTACACGGGATTCGCAGAACTCGTTTCTATACTACCCACTAAATAAATTCGAATCCTGAATAAACAAATTTTCTTCTTTTACTAGATGTCCTTTGTTTGTTGTTATTATAAAAAAAAATGAATTAATGTTGGTTAAGAAAAAGACTGTCTTTGATAGAAATGTCAAACAAAAGAAAAGCGTGTGTACATAAAGTTTTTCTGTTTTCTATTTATTGCACACCCCTCTATGCTGTGTCAGATGATAAAGAAAAGAAAAAAAGAACGACAGGTAATAGAAAAAATATTGATTCGTCAATTTTTTTCATGGCTGTTCTTTCTCCCTCTTTCGACAGTAAATTTGCCGAGCTAGGACGATTTTTTCTTCTTGTCAAATAAAACAGAAGAATAAGAGAAAAAAAAAAGAGCTTAATCTAGAAATATAGCCTACTAATGGATGAATGCAATGTATTTCGAGAGAGAGAGAAAGAGAGAGAAAATCAGTTTAACCGGCCTTTTCTCGATACTTCTTCTGTCTCTAATACATTTTATGGGAGAGAAGAAAAAAATCTATCCAGGCCGACTTGCAGTACGCGTACGTGTCTGTGTGCATGTTGGTTGATAAATGTAGAAAAAAGACAAATACTTAGGTCTACTATATTTGCATTTCAGATTAGAAAAACTGACAGTGTTTTGAAGGCAAACGTGTTATTTTTCCTTTTATTTCTTTCTTGAAGCATTTCTATCTATTTATCTCTACATCTTTGGTTGAGTTATTGGGATTTGTTAATTTGTGGTGCGTCAGTTTTGATAATAAATTTTCTGAACATTAGATATGGTAACGGTTGTGAAAGTGTTCTTCGAAAGATTCAACTTGCTTGTTGTTCTCGAAAATTTATGTGAAAAGTCTGAGCGAATGATGTAATCAGTTAACAGGTATGAACCAATAATAGATGTTATCGAATAAAAAATTACTCACTAATAAAATTATTAGTAAATAATAACTATTTTACGTTACGCAATATTTGAGGCATACATAGTTACATCATTATTGAAAATGACGATAGAGAATGAAAAAATATTCCGCTCGTCCACACATTTTCTTTACCCATGACGTAAGAATAAAAACATAGTGAACAACTTATAAGGTATCAAAGAATTATATATACTCTTAGTTTTTGTTTGATATAAAGTCATAGATCTCTAACACATTTGGTTGAATAAATTATTATGATCCATCAATTCTGACAGTTTTTAACTTTTAACAATGTCTGATTTAATACAGTCAGAATCAGCGTAGGTCTCATAGTTTTTTCACACTAAATATACCTGGTAATGCACGTCGAAGTTTTGTTTTGTTATAGCAGCATATCATTGGCAGATAGTCGAAAGCAACAGAAGTTTGACCTTCAAATTACTGTTCTCTCGAATATCCATATTGCTATGTTTGAGTTGATGGTAAAACGTGTATGGTGATGATATCTTATCGAAGATTACATCTTGATTTGTGTATTCCTTCGTTGATTAACATAGTCGTAAACGAGGCGGATCAATAGTTCAAAGAAAGCAAGGGATGAGACGCGATATTAGGTAGAATTCAATCTTCAAAATGATATTTTTTGTTCCATAAGATGCAAAAAAACGAGTTAAAATTGAGTTTGAACTGAAAAGTTTTTCGATCAGTCGGAACAAACTCTGGATAAAGTTTGTAATTTTGCATTTATATCACTTTAAGTTCGATCTGAATCGGTCTCTGATATCTGAAAAATAGAGAAGAATCCATTTTTTTACACAATAACACCGCAAAAAACATCGATATCTTCTGTTTTTAACCGAGAGTATCTGAAATCGAGTTGTTAACTCTTTCTAATGTGCTTGTTGCCACCGGTTTATTTTTTCTCTGAGGGTACTTGAAAAAACTCTAAGCCAATACGCGACTATATCTATGCATAAAACCCATAATGAGCAGGGCGTAATTGGACTTTTGGTATGGAGTGGGCATCTAGAAAAAATTCCATATTTACTAGTCTGAATATCGATATAAAAATGTCAATCTTTGAATATTATTATCAGATATACACTGTAGTGAAAGCCTAAGCTGTCCACCCCCTGGGTACGACTCTGATATTGAGTAATATCATCGTTTTCATTCAAAAGACCGGTTCGATTTGGAAATAATCTTAATCAAATTGTCTATGAATGTTGATACTAAAGTAAGAATAACTTTATTTTCTAAATAACAATATTAAGTGTTCAAGGATTATTGTTGTTCACATATCGGTATTTTCTTATTTTTTTGGGCGGTGTTCTATTATGTGATTCCTTTCTGTCCAACATGATACATTACTATAATTTGATACACAACTCTTTATTTTTTCTATGTTGAATAAGTTATTGAATATGAATGACATAAAGAATGGTAATCGTGCATCATTTTTTTGTCATATTTTTCATGATGAAAAACATATAAAAATAATAGTTGTTTATTCATATATATACTTTAAATGTATTAATAGTGTAGATGTTATTTTACTTTCATTTACTCGTATTTAATGTAGAAACTTAAGAAGAAATTGTGAATATTAAAAATTCAAGTCATTGGATTGAAAAAATACTCGAGTGAAAAAGTGAAAAGTAAAAACATTTCATGTGGTTGTTTATCAATTGGATTTTAATAAAAATTATTTTAGAGATTTTTTACAATAGATGATTGTTCGAAAATCTCGAAAAACAATAAGTGACGGTAAAATGACCGATTTTGTTTTTATGACAGAAAAGAATTTAGAAATTTTTGATTAAAATAGTGCATATAGTAGACATTTTTTTGTGTAGTTTATGTATGTAGTTTATGTTGACCATAACAACACGTATCTTTTTTTTCTTCGTTTCGCCTCCACACAGTCTGGCTAAATGTGTTCTGACATCAACGGTTGACGATAAGAGAAAGAAAAAAACGTTTTTTCTTTTACATATACATAGACTATATATATATATATACTATATTATTAAAAGAGCTATATTTAAAGCTTTTTTCTGACTACTCTCGTTTGTATATAGGAACTGTAATATAAAATTTTGGTCTTTTTCTGTTTCCACTGTAGTCTTTTTCATGTTTGCATGTATTTTCAAGCAACATGACCTTTCTTTGTTCCACCTTTTACTTTTCATGCGACGGTCATATGAATTGCCAAACATTTGTATCACAGGCGGGTCAACATCAGTTGATTTCTTATTCAATTTGACTAAGTTGTTGTTATAGAAAATCTTTTTTTTTTTTATTATCTTTTGAAGTTCTATTAGTAACTTCATTATTCATCTGTTTTAATAACGTCTCGTTATTTGACGAATCTTTTTTTTGTATGCTTGACATACTGTGCGGGATTCTTACTGCATGGAAGAGAATAGTGCTTAAGAACAATTAAAACTTGATAGATATTTCGATCGTTCCATTATGATAACTCACTTGTAGAACAAGTCGCCGACCATGACTTTTATTTTAAGATTTCTTTATTGTTATTTATCAAACATTCTGTTTATATTACAAAAATGCCAAATTATCGTAAAAATTCTTATTTGAAAGACAGTAGTACATCTCCAATTAAGATAATGTCATTTATATTACCTAACGGAAATTATCCGCCTGGCATATTGCCAATATCTGATTTATCAAAAGTTGCTTCATCAAATAATAGTAATACTAATACTAAAATGAAACATTGTTCATCAAGTCCTACGATACGTAATCAGGCAAATCCAATGACAATTAATAATAACAAAACATCGTCTTATCATTATACAAATTATTATAATAATAATCATTATTTATCAACATCTTATCCATCTTCTTCTTCTATTATCCGTCACCAGCAAACACGTTCTCATCTTCAGAAAGTACCAACATCACGTACATCACCAACAACTACCATTGTCTCACGTTCATTACCAGCTGTACCAGTGTTTTATTCACCAAAACGTGGTGATAATACATATCAAGAACCACCTTTGGATGTTAAAGATTTACCAAAGCCACCTGTTTCATGGTATTTAAGTGATTCAGCTACATCATCTGATAATGAAGAAAATACAAATAATAATAATTTTGATACTGTATCAACTGATAATGCTTTATCTATGAGTCCATTGAGAATGTCTGATGAGAATGAAATTAAGAAAACAGATGACGAAGAAGAAGATCGACAAGGTAGGTTTTTACAGTTTGATTATATTAATTCTATTATTAATTTCTAATTAATTGAAATATTTTAGAAAGTTTAAGCTCGTCAACTTCTACATTAATAGCTTCAGACAATGATAATTTCTCACGCACTACAAAGTCAACACGTTGGTTATTTCCAAAAAGTTATTATTCAAAACCAACCAGTCATTATCAACGTCCACGTCCATCATCATACAATTATTTTAAAAACAATTATTATAATCATGAACAACATCAGCAATATTACTATAAACAGCAGAGATATGCCTACAATTCAGGAGGAGTTGGTTGTATAACTGTTAAAGGGTAAACATTTCTGGTAAGCTAACTGTCTAATCATTTTTTTAAATACATTGTTTTCTTCTACAATACTTGTTGACTCGTAAATTCAATGTTTTTCGGACAGAAACATTCTTATATAGGTGAAAATGAAATTTAAGTGTATTTTTTTGTTGTTAATTACTGCGCGTCTCACTTTCTATATGGCTCAACTGTCTTTTTTTTCTTATTCTTCATTTTCGAGAGACGAACAAACAAAACTCCAAACGATTATTATCAATTGTTACTACGATAAATGCATTTTTTCTTAGAGAATGAACGATTTTCCTTCCCAAGACAAAGTATAGTCTTTGCGTTTTGTTGTTTTCTGTTGCCTTAGTTTTTCTATATGTGCCATCTGCCAACGACAAATTTTTTTTTGTTGTTGAAATCTCTTTTTGCCTCGTGTTTATTTGTTATGATATTGGTCTGTTAGTAGTATTCTTTTCCGTCAACGTCTATTTGTTTGTTATTATTACTAATTTTTCAACATTATACATTGAACCGAGTGCTCTGTGTTATGTTTTGATCATATTTTGTGTTTTATTTATTGCTCGTTGTTTCTGTTGTGTCTCTCTAATATGTTCGTCTATTTGTTTTCTTCATTCGTTCCATTACTGTGAGTGTCTTCCAGAACCATAAGTTTTTGTTCATGATTAATTTACTCGAACACTCAAACAATACGTTTTTCAGCAATCTTTTATGAATCTCGTTTGCACGCGTAATTTTTCTATTTTCATTTCTGTTGGTTACATGGCAGTATATTTGTACAGATTAGCATACGGTGAGCACACATTTCTGTTCTCAAGTGTTATTCTTTATTTTTATTCTGCGCTGAGAATTTTTGTAAATTATCATTGTTTTCTTTTCTAAGAAGGGCATTATGTTTGGCACTGTTCAGATTTCTTTTTTTATCATTGATTATCTGTTCAGATCCAAATATAAATGCACATACACATTTACACATGAAAATGATATCTGGCGCACACACACACATATATAGACGTTTCCCCTGTTATACGGTTGTTTGATGCTCAGGAACTATGTTTTACATTTATTATGTACCAACAATATCTCTTTTTCTTCTTGTCTTTCATGGTTTTCTTAAAAATAATATTTTTTGAAAATATCTCTCATTTTCTCTCTTTATCTCTTTTTCTAATGCGGATATTACATAAAATTTAGTCATATAAATAAAATTATTTTGTATAGAAAAAAGTTTCAAAAGACAAAAAAAGCGTGTTTTTCGTTTCTTTTTTTAAGCAAATTTTTTAATAGTTTCGAACCCGTCCAACATCTTTCGAAACGTAAAATGTGTGTGTGTGTATATATATATATATATACATATATATATGTGTCTTTTTTCTCTTCGAAGCGTGCAACATGTTTTTGATGCTAGTCCTATAGAATAGACCATATTTGTATTTGTTTGACAATTATTGTAAATTATTATTATTTTGCTTGTGTGTGTGTGTGCCTATGTCATTTTTATGGAGAAAAAAGAAATACAGACAATGTCTCTCTCTTGATTATTTATATAATTTAATATAGAATGTTTATAAATTATGTGCAAGTGTAGCCTTCTTTTTCCTCTTTCTTTTCTACTTCAGTCACAATATAAACCAACAGTGAAAATTTCAGATTTTACTGTCCCGCAAAATTTCAGAGCAAAAAAGATTAATGATTTTTTTGTCCTCGTTGTTTGTTGTCAAAACAAGTGTGCATTAAATTTGATCAATTTCATGCCGTCAGTTGTTTTTTTCTTGTCATGTTGTATATTCATTTACTCGAACGTCATCTAAGCTCCTTTTCTATATCTATATACATTTAGCAGTGTTTATGTAGCATTACAATTTTTTTCCATAATCGATGTCATATCGGGCGCCATTAGAAAGTACACGTATTGTTTTTTTTCCCTTTTTTTTGTATATTATTCTCCCTATTTATAGGTCCTCTATTTTTTCTTTAAAAATAAAGCCCAGATGGTAGAATAAATTGGTAATTCAATGGTTCAAGCGGCTCAAATGATATTAATGCAAGAACATTGTTTGATCTAAACGAGATGATAGCAGCAGTGAAAGTTGTTTTGATACTTCTAAGTTAAATTATTTCAAGATTTCAAATAGCACAGTGTCCACCCTTCTACGATCATATTTCTGTTTTTCAGTTTAACTTCCCTAGATTCCCTTGAGAATGATGACTATGTTATTCGATGCTACCTCAATAACACTTTTTAAGAACTTTTTAAAGAGGAGAAAAAGAAGATACCAGTTTTGTTGTGAACAAACTGTTTCAATTGAGAACTATAGATTTGATGTATTTTGCAAATTAATTCGAAAAGTTTGCTTTTTTACACTTTTTTAAAGCATTTTTAGTTCCTTACAACTGCGATGCGCACCCTCCCATTATTTGCACCTCTGGTCTCTAGACCAAGAATATGCAAAACTTTGGTGGCATTCAGCTATTCATGGAAGAAAAGCTTTTTTTATGGAAAATAAGTATTTATGATAATAAATTAATTAATAAGTATTTTGTTTGATTAACCTATATAGCACAACTCGTCTGTTAGTATGCTTGAGATTTGAAGTGATTAAGAAAAATCTCGATTGTTTGTGATCTATAAGGAAATACGAATATGTAAGTCATATATCAGCCAGTTAGAAAGTTCAAAAGCTGCTTTTCAATAGTTTATTGTTTTACCGAATTTGCGTTATTATCAAAACAATAGTGTAAATACGGACTAAAAAATATCCGTTTTGTTTTAGTTTTATTTAACAGTCAGTTCTTCTCTTGATTGTTGTATTTTTCAATTTTAATTATTTATTTATACATAATTTGTTAGTTAAGAGTGCCTTACAACAATAAAAACAGTGTTGAGATCGTGAGGGTAAAAACGACTTGTATTTCAATTTGGAAGTCCGCATTCGATTGTATCGTATTATTTTCTACCAACGTATTTTTAACATACTCAAAACTTGCATGATATGACTGAAAATACTATTTGAAAGTTTCGTGCAGTTGTATTTTATTTCAAATATTTAAATGTAAAAACGAAAGATATACGTAATTATAAGAAAAAATAGTACAAAATAAGATGTTCAATTAGAAATATATAAAAAAATTTAAAAAACGCATATGCACAAAAAAGTATTTGATTGCCAGTTCACAAGAAAATGAATACATATACGAAATATGTTCGACACCTGAGTTTCTTTTTAAGCTTTTTTTCTTGGAAGTAGAACAGTATAAGATTATCTCTTTTATAATGTAGGTACGATTCATAACTATATAAAAATATTATAAAGCGCGTATGCGGTCGGTACTACATCACGAAGTCATACAAATATGAAGTTTAGGTTAGCAATGAGACTATACAGCATAATTTAGAACGATTTTGAGAGAAAAGTAAATAAAACAAAGTTCTTAGAGGCGAAAAATTTGGAGTTCGTAACAATGTAGATCGGCGTTCGTATTCTACTCAATTTTTCTACCTTCAAATTTTCGAGCTTATGGAAAAACATATAGGTTGTTGAATAAAGCGAAAACGAATAGTTACAAATATGTTTTTAGCTCACAGTACTGACTGTTCGTCATGGAAAAAGGAATAGAAAATACTTTATAGCATAGAACCTTAAGAGACAATTATAGAAGTCGTTGACTTTGAACAGATTTATTTCACACAAACTCTAGTTTTAAGATATACTTTAAGAGAATAAGCACTGGTTTTTCAGTCAATGAGGATGAAAAATAAGAATCTTTCAAAAAAAAATGTGTGATAGAGAGATTATATTAACGAGAGAAAAATGATTGTTAGTTAATTTGAAAAAGAACAACAATCAGATACTGCACAGCATAACCTAAGAAATTGCACAACTTGAAAATTTGTTCGTAGATAGCGTTATTTGTAAACCAGAAATAACTCGTAGATTCTTCGGAGATGAGATAACATGTTTTACATAGCACGAAGAAAGAGAAAAACAAAACGCTAATGCACACTGTTATAGATGAAAAAAATGAAATAAATAAAAATAGAGAGATTATTATTAATTATCTTAAATTAAGCGATGATTAAACGAATAAAAAAGTGCTTATAATTGCTGATGTAACGCTACAAGTTTTTTCAGAGCTAATGCAATATTATAAGAATTATCAATAATTAATTGAATTTGTTCATTACGATTACGTTTTTCTTTAGAATATAAAAGAAGATGTTTTGCACCTGTTGCCAGCATTTCAAGGTTAACACGAATTTCGTCTGTTAGATAATTCTAGAAAAAAAATGAAAAATACTTGAATTCACATAAAACATTTCATTTTAGCAATATTAACCTCAGGAAACAGCCTTATCATATCGTACACTGAATTATTAATTTTTTCCGCACAGAATACAAATCTATAATGGAAAAAAAAGCTAATCGTATTAATAGACTTCAAATGTAAAATGAGAACATACGAATCATATTGATTTTCTTTTATAAACTGAAACATTTCGGCTATTCTGTGGGTGATTTTACGTGCCCGTTTATCAACATCAGCGTTTGTTTGACTGCATAAGCCTAAAAATGGAGTTTCGTATACTTTGTCTGACAAAAAAACTTGCTCCAACAAACCTTTTCGTATCAACGTGGGAGATGTGGCTTTATTCCTTCCACCAGAGCAAGATCTGGCTCGAGTACCCTGTATGAACGAAGTTTTTAATATTTCATTCATTGTTATCGACGATAATGGAACAGTTGGAGATATTATTGAGGCTAATGGGCTTCGGGATGATGACTCTACTCCATTTACCCAATCAGTTGATCTGAACGGACGTGATTGTGCTAATGAGTTCGTTCTTATATCTTCATATGGAAGTCGATGTATGCTACGACTGGATCTAAGATAAAAAAGGAATTATAAATGATGTATCTAACGAGAGAAAACATTATTGTACCTTTTTTCATGATTATAAGAGCCATATGAGTAAATTGGAGACGTTGTCAATCTTTAAGAAAATAGACTTGTATCTTTAATCATGTAACATATTGATAATAAGGTGCACATCTACCAAATAAGCGCGATTTTATACATACCTATCCAGATCATCAGGTATAGTTGTATTATCATAATCACTTTCAATAATTGGACTTGATTTTCGACTGTGACTATCAAACAATTGATGATTGGACTGGAAAGCGTACAAAAAAAAACATCGTGTAAATATTTTTATTCTATAAACGAATTAAAACAAATAATATACTTTTTGTAATTTTGGTGAAAATAATTGCGATATGCGGGGCGGTTTCAGGGACTAAAACAACATGCAATATACTTTTTTCGATTAAGGAAGACGGGCAGAAGTAACAATAGCGGAAGAAAGTTATAGTAAATCTAATGTGATTCTATAAAGAGTTCAGAATTATCATTCTCTGAGTGCTTTTTTTTATAGTTAAAGTATCTACTATAGGCTTTAAGTGTCCTACTGTTAGATAAATCATGAGGAGAAGCAAGATTAAGAAGTGGTAAAAACCTATAAGTTTATGTCCTACTAAAAGCCTCATATACAAGAGATTTTTAACATACTTTTTCCAAAGTCTTTCCATCGTCATTCGTAGTTGTGTTTGTTGTTGTCGTCGATGTTGATACTGTTATATCAATATCTTGTATTCGAGATGATTTCGACGATTTAGATGGCAATGTATCGTTTGTAGATAGAGTGTGATTATCGATATCTAACATTTGTTGATCAACTTTATTCAATAGACTTTCGTCTAATAAGCGTTGAATCTTGAAAGGATAAATGATAAATTTAGCGTCTCTTTAACCTGTGATCACAGACTGACTCACCATTTGATGTAATACGGCAATTTCATTTTTTAAATCTACATGTGCACAAGACAAAAATTTTAATTGCGTTTCTGTATTAATTACTCTTGCTTTTAAATTATTTTGTTCTTGCTGATGTTGTTCTTGTGAACGAATGTGATTGTCTTCATTCGACACATCCGATAAATTTAAACTCTAGGAAAAGGCAATTATAACACTGAACAAAAGTAACGTATAACAACATTACCTCAGACGGTGAATAAAGTATGTCAGGACTTTGCTCTTTGATATAGTCGTTTGATGAATTCTAGAAAGAGAAGGTTTATATTCTTTCAAATGAATCTTTGAATTTCTCACCAACCTTTCTCATTCTTTTGAATAATTTTTCCATATTATTCGCTTGCTTATCCTTGTGAATTAGTTTTGATTTATGATGTACGGGTAAACTACTGTAATCTTCATCAGATGCCACTTTATCATACAACGGCTCATCATCCGAATCAATAAACGTATTTATCATTGCACTTGATGATGTCCCACTGTAAAGATTTGAAAATGGGCCTGTTCGTGTTCCAATACCATTCATTGTTGGCAACAAAGTATCATTTAACATCAATGAGTTATTATTATTCATACCAGCATGATGACGTGGTAAGGTGTGAACTGTAGAAAAAGTAAAAACACAGTATCATCTACCACCTAATCAAATTTACACAATATTTTACTCACATTTTGATTGTTGAACAGGTGATTGCACACCATAATGTCTTCGACGGATTTCAGTTAGAATGTCATAGATTAATGTTGTAAACTCTTTCGTGCCATAACGTGCTAATTTTTGACGTCCCTTAAAATAAACACTATTTAACTCATACATTGGCATTTGTAATGATCGTGATTGTACCTGATTTCTTGTTGCTGAAAATACTGAATTAACAGGTAAAAACGGTACAACATGGAGTGACTGCAACTGCTTTTCAACTTGTGTATGCCAAACTGAAAGAGAGAAAAACATCAACTTTCGGCCAACAATTAGCGATTTGTACAGTCTCAGAACAGCTACTTTATTTAATAAACATATGTATGCAATACCAAGATCGACTGTTGAAATCTATCGCTTTAGCTCGAATTTTTCATAGATATAGGAGTGAATCTATCATCGATCAGATCTTTCCAATGTTTTTCATATGTGCAAAAGGGTATATACTATTTACTTGTGTCCAGTTCTCGCCGTTCTACTTCATCAAACACATCCATTGCAAGATCTTCAAATAATGAATCAGACAACTAGAATACAAGCATACTTTGGCTATGACTTTAAAGACAAAATGAACGAATATTAATACCTGTTGAAGTTTTCGACGGGCCGATCGTGAATGATCCGATGTATCTAAACTAAAATGAAATGAAAATGTACATTCAGTTTAGCTAATAAATATAAAACTTAAGAGTTAGTTTATTTACCTATTGCTAATGTCTGGTATAATTAGATGTTGTCCATTCATATGATTAGGTCTCTTGTTACAAATGAAATAAGTTAAACGATCTGTTAATTCATGTTGTAATTCAACTAAACGTTCACTTAATTCAATATATCCATTTAATCTGAAATCAGTATAATATAAATGTATACAAACAAGAACAAGATTGGGTTGATCTACCTTGCATGTTGTTCGGGAGATATTCCCGAACTGTCAGGAGATCCAGGATCTGCTCCAAATATACATAATAGTTCGACCTGATTCATTTGTCCACGATTAGCAGCTACATGAAGTGATGATGTACCAGTTTCTGGATTTTTATAATTAGGATCGGCGCCTTGAGATAAAAATCGCAAACAGGTTGTTACATTATCTGTACGAGCTATGGAATGAAGTTGCTTTGAAGAAAAATATAAACTGAAATACCCTTTAGTGAATGCAATTACTCTAGTCGTACCTGATGTAAATCTTCGAATGTCAAACTCGTTTCATCCCTGAGTCGATTTATATACGCTAACTGTTGATATTTGGCTCGAATAAATTCTGCTTTTACTCTAAATTAACAACAACAATATAAGATTTCGCATGGATCGCATTAGCATAGAGATGGTTGTTTCGGTTCGTTAACTTTTTCAACAGAAACGACTGTTTGATGCTAAACGTGATTGTACTTTCGTGTGAAACACTGAGCAAAATGTTCTCAAAATTTGTTTGTATTATTAGAAATCTCAAGTACCATTAGTCTACTTCTTCAGAAAAACTTACGGTAAACATCTTTACAAATTTATTGGATTATTCAAATACGAATACAGCACAAATTGTTAATAAAATATAATTTTTAATATACTTTTATTTGTACAATATTATTTTCAACAGCTAAACGTTTCGGTGTTTACCAACATCTTTATCAGTAGCATAACAATTTTTAGAAAAACTAGGCAATGAAATTAGAATAACACACGTCTGTAGTTCGATATTAAATCTACAGTTATAGCCTGTGACGAACAACTTCTTTCTAAATATATTTCATCTTTTTCCGGCTTTTTTCTCCCTTCCGTTGTGTCCACGTCTTGTATTGATACATGTATCAATACAAAAAAATGGTCGGAAAAAAGGTGAAATATATTTAGAAAAAAATTGTTCGTAATAGGCCATAACTGTAGATTTAACGTTGGACTACAGACGCGTGTTATTCTAATTTCATTGTCAAGTATTTCTGAAAATTGTTATGCTACTGATGAAGATGTTGGTAAACCTCGAAACGTTTAGCTGTTGAAAATAATAATTGTACGAATAAAAGTATATTAAAAATTATATTTTATTAACTTACGGTAAAGGATCTTTTGCATTTGGTTTTTTTCTTGAAACTTTATTTTGTGGATCTAAAAGATTATATTCCCATACAAGATTAGCACCATTTTGATTTAATTCTTGTATCAGCTAAAACAGAAAAAAGATACCATTGAAGTGTGATTGTTGTTCAAAACATTCTAAATTACATTCAATTGAGACGGTGGCCAATAACTATGTTTAAACGATTTGATTTGTGACACATGACGCCCAAGACTAAGATGAACAGAACAACACTCATCACATAACAGAACGCCATGGTTAAGTGATGACCATTGAGTGCCTGAAACAAGGACAAAACACTTTTTCGAAGTACAAAAGTAATATTAAATTGGTAATTACCAGTTTGTCCACAATCGTTGCATTCGTTTGAAAATTTAGTCGTTGTTGTTGTTGGATTATCTGACGCTCGTGGCATTGCTTCGATCGGGTACTGTACACTTTATTTCATATTTAGTGTTAGGTTCTAATCATATTTTTAATCACCCATCTATCAATGGAGAAGAAAATTCATAATTCCTACAAAAGATATTTTCATACGTTCAAAGATTAGTATAGGTTCAAAACTTTCTCTTTCACTGCTACAGGCAGTATATTTTACGATAAATTAAGAAATCAAAATATTTATCTGAGAATTGACATTTAAATCAGTCATTCAATTCAGGAGTGGATAATATAAGAACGAAGTTATTTAGTATAAAAAAAGTACAAGTTGTAACCGATTGTGAGTCTACGTGTTCCAATGGCTATGTACCTCTGAATAGAGCCTACTCTAATGAAAAGTGTTATTTTAAGACCTTGCCGACGGACAATATAATATAAAGCGCTCTATTGCATTCTCGCTACTTAAAATGACGCAATGCCACACAAAAACATGTTAAGTTTCATTTCACTAATAGTTGCTTACAATCTATCTAACGTGAGTGGTTATATGTTCTTAATGAAGAAAAGAACCTTAAATGGGATTGACTCACCAACTCATGCACATTCTGTGCATATAAAATTAAGTTATATAAATAAATAAAGTTGCTCCTGATACTAACTATCAGAGAGTATATCAATAAAAAAACATAATAAAATGTTGAAAGATCATGGATGAGAACGCCTATTGTTCAACACGCGAGAGTTAATTGGGACATAGTTCTTGAACAGAAAACAAAAACATTTCTTTGACATTTGTTATTTTTTTTACAAAATTAGATAAATTATTTTCTACCCTCAAAACTTCAGAAAGTGCACAAATTTTAAAGATTCAAATCAAAAGTACTCAGTTTTTATAAACGTAATGTTTTCGACAGTAATTAACTCTAATGGGATTTGAAAATACAAATTATCATAACCTGCGACAACCGCTTTATACAAAAAGTACAGTAATTCTAATGACGAGCAAGTTTGATAAATGAAAGGATGTCTATAGTTAACAATAGAAGTGGTTCTAAATAAACATATTTTATTATACATCTATATATGGTATATATGTGTGTAATAGATATAAATATAATTTTGTAGAGAAGATATGTACAAACAAAATAATGACACAAAAAAAATAATACAGTAAAACAAGCTCTCCCCATGAAATGATCTGAATAGAAAACAAGCAAAAAAGAAAATGTTTTTCATTATTCACGATAAACAAAGCGTGTATATGTTCTGTTTCATAGAGACTAAACCTACACAACATTCGTTCGATCGTAATTTATTTACAATGAAAAATTATTTCCTCTTTATTATCAAATAAGCAAAATAGCAAAGAAAAAAAAATCTTAAATAATTCAATGTAGACAATATGGTTTTCTTCATTCTTAATTCATGCAAGTTACTAATAAACAATAAACAAGAATAGCTCATGAATCAATTCAACATCAATGCAAAAATTTCATTATATTTCAGAGAAAAGTCCCAAGATGTTAGAAACATGGTCAGACATGAAAGCATTTGGAAGAATACGAAATTTCTCTAAACTAGTGAATGTTAAATGACCATTCTTATTATTCATTGACTTTAACCGAGTATTCACTCTAATGACTTAACGTGAAAGCCCTGACTTGAACTAAGAAAATCTTGAGTTTTAAATTATATCGATGATCTATACAAAATTAATCGAGTGTAGATTTATTACGCACTGCCAAATCTCAATGATATTTCGTTCATTTGACACAAAACATAGAAATCGCGCGAGATATGTGATGTTTCAAAAAATGAAACAATGAGCACACACAAATCCACAACGAAAACCAGAGGTTCGCAGCAACTAGAAAAATAATACAACACAAAAAAAATAAAAGAACAATAAACGCATTAGAGACGAAATAAACGCACAGCAACAGTGTATCAAAGAGAATGAACATCTTTTTTTTTTTTTATCAACACAGAAAAACGGAAACAAAAATATAGCTATATCTTTCTCGCTCTGAGATCTCAGTAAAACGAACAAAAGAATCTGAATCAATTTGAACAAAAACAAAAAGAAAACGGCGCAAAAGACACAAATTTGATGATGGTGGGCTTCTTTTCACATAGACGATGTTCTAAAAAGCCTATTTACAATAATAAAATAAGGAAGAGAAGAACAACAACTAAAAAGTGAAATTAAGATAAACTCAACTAAGTCTGTTTATTCATAACCAAGAACAATACAACATGTACGAAAAAATATAATTAAACAGAAAAATATATATATTTATTAATATAGATAAGGATAATAATGGTTTTTTGAGTTGAAACAAAGTAACAAATTTACATAAATCAGCTAAACATTTGATTTATGCTTTCATATTTGTTACCGGCGAGTACGTTTCTAAAACGAAACAACAAAAAAAAATTGACATGACAAAATTGGCATACAAAAGATATTTTCTCTACTATCAGTCTAAGATCAAGTAATGAAGATAACTTACTCTACTTGTCATTGAATAAATAGTCGATTGTTCTTTTAGTTTTGGATATTCTGATTCAAAATAATTGAAAAGTTTCTCTAAATTATCGGCTGTTATTTTCGATAGATTATTTTCTAATAATTTCCGTTTAATATCCATAATCGAATCAAAAAACTCATCTTTTGATATAACCCCGCTCTAGAATTCAACAAATAAATATCTAAATTTGATCAAAAAATAAAAACTGCATCTGTCCATACAACTAAATTTGTTTGAATTGTATCAAATTTTGTTGACAAATTTTGTTGACATTTTAAATCAAGAAATCGAAAACCATACTGGGATAATACATTACGAAGCAAACTAAGAGAAAAAAATTCACTTTTACTTGGATATTATACAATAAAAGCTGAACATTTAATTACGTATCAGCAGCAACTGTCCAACTTTCATCTTTTCCTGATAACTCGTTTTCACGTTGACGAATACGCTTACCAGTTGTTCGACCTACAAGCATCAAATATTATTTTACTCCAAAAACACATCTGAGAGTATCAATACGTTACCTGCAGATAAACTGGCCTCTGGATGCTGTTGAGAATATAAAATAATTTCTTGTTCGGCAACGGGTGAACCATCAAACTCCATGCTATTTTCATTTTGTTGTTGGTTATTATTATCAACTTCTTCGTTTTCCGAACCATCATCGTCTAGATCTTCTTCAGGTTCCTGATTTTCAATTTTCAGAAAAATAATTAAATGCTTATCGTACAGACAAAATTTTACTTACTTCATCAAACGGATTGCTCTGAATACATTTATCTTCCATTAATGGTCGTGTACTTGCACCAGAAACAGATGAAATGGAAGAATGGGATGGCGAAGAAACTATTAATGGTGTAGTTATAGTTGTTACAGATGATGGATTGTTATTTAATTGAATATGAGTTGGGCGATATTGAACTGTATCAGTATTGCTATAGATTGCATCATCATCTGATTTCAACTCATTCATATTGACCGATAATGGAAGATTATTTGATGTTGATTCATCGGGGTAAGATAGAGTAACATTGCTTGATGTATGAATTATCGATCGATTATGATAATGGTGCCGATTAAAACCATCCGTCTGTGACATTTGCAACATTGTATTACTATTTCCATGATTAATAAGTCCATTTGGACTGGGTACAAGTGACGAACTGGTTATCAGACGTTGATCATTGGCAGTATCGTTATCAGCACTTGGACGAGGCATTATGGCACGTTCCTAACAAGAAACAACTCTTAGTTTTTTTTATGATATAAGGGAATATGCAAACCTTATTTCGCTTTTTAGTTGTTTTAAAACAAGTTAAAACTGAAACGGCACCAGCAGCATTGGTGTGTTTATTTTCGTAACAAACAGTTGCTGTTGTTGGTGTTGGTTTTGAGTGTAGATCGGTTGTTTTTCCTGTTGTACGAACACGAAACACAGGTACACCTAGAATATGATATGTAGTCAAAATACCTAAAAATAATAAAATTATTTTTATTTTACTTGGATTCATTGATGTCATGCGATAAATCATGGGTCCGGAAGTTGTTGTTTGTCGCTGTTGAGGTGATGGCATTGGAGTCGCTTCATGATGCATAGGACTTGTACTGGTAGAAACAACAGTTGAAATTGGTTGTACAATATTTGCTGTTGTGGAATTACTCACTGTTGTTGCTAAACAAAATAAATTTACGGTTTGGAGTAACAGACCTGGAACAATGTTTTTCTTCCAGAATATCTATTAGATGTCTATTAGATAAAAGATTCAAATTAATGCAGAAAGAGGCTTTAGGTAGTTTTTCTCGCCAGAAGATAAACACTATCCACAATTAAAAACTAAAGAAGCTAATATACTAACCATTTGGATAAGACGGTAACACTTTTGCTATCGGTCTTAAAACTTTGCCAATAGGTTTCTCAGAAGGAGCGCTGCTTGACGAGCGTCGTCTTGGTTTCGAATTTCCATTACAATTTCCATTATTTGTTATAATAACACTGTGATTGCTATTGAAGGGCGAAGTGTCATTTTTAGAAACATAATATTGTTGCTGCTGATTATTATTAGTGTTTGTTGGCGATGGTAACGCGCTGGATGAAGATGTATCTGTGTAATCTGCTGACCGCAATGGGGACATTGATAGACTATGAGAATAGGCTGGTGTAGGTGATGTTGTAACTGTTATTTCTTGTGCTGCCTGAGGAATCATTGATGAATAGTCACATGACGTTGATGTAGATAAACGAAATGTAGAGTTATTATAGTTGTTATTTGAAGAGACGCTGTCACTTCTTGTACGGGTGAACTGAAAATTAGATGATTGTGACTGAGTGGGCAAGACAATCTGAACGGCAGGTAATGTTATAGTTGAGCCAGACGCAGCGGTAGTTGATCGTCTTTGAAACTGCTGCTGACTAAAATAAGAAAAACATTTATGCGTAAGAAAATAATAATAATGTGCTCATATCAATAGAAACAAAGTGTTTTGAAAATATAAATAATGTTCTAACAATATTTACTTGAACTCATTTGTGGTTGTGATTTGTATTGGATTAGCAATTGTTTTCGTGGTCTGCAGCGGTGGCGGTGGACAATTGCTGAATTTCACCAATTTTACTGGGCTTTGTTGATGTTGAGTATTTTGTTGTTGATTATGTAAATGATGATTTGTCGGTGAGACCAAAATGATTTTTGTATTACCAATTTGAATGTTAGTTGTCGGTTTTGGAACCACAGTTTGAATATTTAATATACGGGGCAAATTGGGAGTAACGAATAATGTTGGCTGTTGAGTTGTCGTTTTAGGGGAATCACTAAGAAATATTTGTGGATTATTGATGCTATTTGTATTATTATTGTTCATAGGACTGGAAAGTGGAGAAATAGTAGAACTACTCGTTGTCGTTGAGGGATGGAGACTGATATGTTGTAATGTTGGAGTTAAAAAAGTGGAAGAAGTAGGCTGTGTTGATAACGGTGTAGCAGTCTGAATTTGTTGCTGTTGTAATAGTTGCATTGAATTTCGAATGTCACTCGCTGTCGACGATAGCATAGCTAAATCATTTCGATAATAGTTTGGTGTTGTGGAATTACTTGGCAAGGGTGGCATAGATGCACCCTTTGTGCTGGCTGAAAACTGAAAGAAACAAAGGTTAATATTGAAACTGACATATTAACAAAACAAAATCTTACATTGGTAATAGTTGTTGTTGGTACAGATCCTACAAATGTTTTTTGTTCTGTTAATAAGTTCGATGATGCCGATTGTTGTTGTGTTTGAGATGGTATAGCAGTCAGCATATTAACAACGAATGGTGCTGTATTCATCGTAGCCATTGCTACCAACGCATCAACTGTTTCCTGAACGATGTCCTCAATGTTCTCAAGATTATCATAATTATTCATTTCGGTATTATTGTAGTCATCGTTATCTTCAAATGACTTTTTGCGCGAAGACAATGAGACAGGTCGTCGAACAATTTTTCTTGACGTTTTAAATCGATTTGATTGTGCGGTTATTGAACGTGGATGCGATGCTGGTAAAACAGATGATAGTAAAGTAGCTGATGAAGATGTTGAAGACGGAGATGGACGTTTGAATGACGGTGGTGAAGAGCGATTGTGATGAGGTCTTGAATGATCCGATTTTGAATAAGAAGAATGATAATTATGTTTTGAAGACGCTGATCCTCGCTGATTTGACGATGACATAGAATTGTTCGAAGATTGCCCATTCACTTTTTGTAATTCTTTCTGTACAACTTCAATTAATGTATCTAAACTGGTTTTGCGTTTAACAGCTTGCTTAGCACGAACTAATCGAATAACTTTCGAACCTAAAGCAAAACTAACACTATGAAATACAGCATAGGTACTGGAACTTTTCGTGTCTTACAAATGGAATAAGTAGAGAACCAAAGATTATTTTTGTTCTAGTGAAACATCCGCGCATATCATCTACCTCAAGCAAGGAGACAGCTGATAGTCATGAACAAAATAGCTATAAATTTTCAAAAGTCACAAAAACGAAAAAGAACGACACAAAAGAAAAGAAACTCTTATCAATGTAATGTCTCTCGTTGGCTTAAACGTACTACTATCACTAAAAGAGGATCTCCCGCTATCAGGTTTTTTCGACCAGTTTGTAAAAAAGTATATATCCTAACATTTTTACGGTTTTGGATCTGTACTTTTTGAGAAAAAGATATTTAAGTTTTTCCGATGTCTTCTGCTCCGTTTTCAAAATTTGAATAAAGTTTTTGTTTTTCAAAGTGAAGACTTAGTTTTAGAGAACATAGAGAACATCAAACTGTATATTAAAAAAAATTTCATCTTTTCTAGATGAGATTCGCAGAAAATTTTAAGTTTACGTTTCCAGTGGAATTTTGGAACTAAAAGTATTTTGAAACAAACCTTGAACTAAATTTCGCTTGAACGAAGCATTTTAAAGCAAAACTCACATGTTTCAATTTAAAAATCGAGTTTTACGAGTTTCGAAAAATTCTTCGTTCGTATTCCAGAGAATCACATTCTGAACAACTTTTGTATCCATACTTCTGCTTCAAATGCTTCGTACAAGCAAAATTTGGTTCAAGGTTTGTTTCAAAATACTTTTAGTTCCAAAATTCCATTAGAAACGTAAAACTTAAATTTTTCCATGAACTCTCATCCAGAAACGATGAAACTATTTTTTATATACAATTTGATGTTCTCTATGTTCTAGTGGCGTAACCAGAAACTGGCTATAGATACGGCGGTGGCCGTACCGCCTCCCAAAACTTTTTGGAGGTAGTGTCTGCCAAATTCTGCAGTGGGTACGGCGGCCGCCGTACCTCGCCGTACCTTGGTTACGCCACTACTATGTTCTCTAAAACTAAGCCTTCACTTTGAAAAAAAAAACTTTATTCAAATTTTAAAAATGGAGCAGAAGACGTCGGAAAAACTTAAACATCTTTTTCTCAAAGAAGTACAGATCCGAAACCGTAAAAATGTTAGGATATATACTTTTCTACAAACTGGCCGAAAAAATCGGATGAAGAGACCCCCTTAAATGTGTATTAACCTACAAGTGCTTACCACTCAAATCAGTTGAGCCAAAATTTGCAAAATTTTGTTTTGAATTTCCAATTATGGTATGATGGTGTTGTGCTGTTGCATTTGGAATATCATCTTGTTGTTGACGAATTTCGTCGTCTACTAATTGCTTGAAACTTTCATCTATAGTAGACCAAAAGCAAAAGCGGGTAAAAACAAATAATTATGTGTTGCAGGCGTACATACTTAATAATGTTGTTTTTACATTTGGATTATTTTGAATAATAGCTGTTGGAGGACATTTTTGAATAACACATTCAGCTAGATGCATATAATCTGTAGCTGGTGCTAAATGTACCACTGGAGGACAAATATAATTTGCTTCAACCTCCCAATTCATTGTAGTCGCAGAATCATTTGAACTAAGGATATCAACACATATATTCTGAGTTGGAAATGATCAAATCCGTGAGATGAATGTTCAAACCTTATAGCAGCGATAGATGTCAATTGCTCGTCGTATAATGCTCGTTTTACTTCTGCTGTATGACGTTCTCGGCTGACATTAAATGCTTGCTGTAAAACTGGTAATAATGGTAGTTTATCTTTTGTTAAATCACCTTGTGCACGAAGAGCTGAGATAATCTGAGAATATGAGTTTATACCTAGATTAAAGAAGAACGTCTTAAATACATGCGATAGAAAAGCTCTTTAAATTGTAATCCAGCAATCTACTCTAAATTAGCCAATATTTCTCTGAGTCTCTACAAAATCTAATTTTACTTTTTCTCATTTCTATTTTTGACAGTTAAACGAGGAGTTACTTTTCCAACTAACTATGAATTTCAATAAATAACGCAAACTTTTAAACACACTTACCCATATTCTTGAGTTTCGCTTTGCAGCGACGTCGTGAATATTCGTGTTGCATTTCTTCATTCCTAAAAAAAAGATAAATTAAATTATATTTCGAGGAATTCTGCAGGAAAAGTATTTCAAAAAGATCATAACTTTTTGTTAAGTTTCTCGCGTATAATTGTTATTAGAGAATTCAATAATCAATAAAACTTAGTAGAATAAACGCGATGTGCTTACTAATTGCTGTAAAACATATTGATTAAATATATGAGATAGCTAAAACCAATATAATAATCGTATTCGATCTGCGCGCATTTCTGTTCGCTTCTTATAATTGAAATGGAACCAATCGCATAATTTTCAATACAGCACTTAAAAAACTAGCATACAGCCTCTCCAAAAGAAGATGGTCGGCTGAAGAGGAGAAATATTTTAAGAGAGAAGCAATGGAGTTTTAGCAAAAAATATTCGTCGGATGAAGCATGTTCGAAATTAGATATGGTCAAATTTCCATGAATGTCACTCTATATCATTCTCAAATTGGACAAAGAAGTAATTATAAGAACGAGTGAAAAAGTTATGGTACATTTCAACCAATGAAACTTTGAAAGAAGTGATTGAAAACAACAGTGGATTTTCTTTTCTTTTCTTGGCATTGTGAAAGATGCAACAGAAAAGAGAGATAGAGAGGTAAGATAGGATATAACTAGCTGAGGTATCTCTTCAGATCAGTATCATATTCAGGCGGCCTGGCAGTAGGCATACACCGGATTCGACTTTTTAACCGAGAAATAAAAAAATCTGTAGATCATTCGCAAAATGAACTTGGATAGTTATTTTATTTTTATATTGAATTTGTATTAGATTGTTCGACTTCGAGACTTGGCAAGACAGATTCATAGATCGCCTTTTATCTTCAATAAATAATACAAGGTTCTATTCGTTTCCTCTGACGTAGGAACTGCTTATAAAGCTACTTAGCAAAGTAAGCGCAAGTTTTAATCAATCAGTAGCACCTGAATTTGATGCAACTTGATTTCTTTGTTTACTCAAGTATGAACTTTCGAATTCGGATATTTGTACAGAACGATCACAATCTATATATTGTAGCTGCACGCGAGAGTGATGTGATTATTCTATACAAATGCCTGAATTGTGCTAGTTTGAACTAAATTCAGTTATTGTAAAATTATATGAATGGAGGTCTGATATTAGACTAAATAGTAGTAACGTGATTGCATGTCATTATTTTCTCCTAGTAACACAGGCCACATTTTTTCGTCGATAAGGCAACGCTTTTCTTCAGTGCCGATCTGCTTTCTACGTATCATACTTAATTTCTCCTTTCTTATTGCTATTAGAAGGCTTCTTTCGAAAGCAATGACAACTGCAGAATTACAAGGGATTGTTTTTGATGGAAATCTGAGTCCAAGTGCACATTAGCACTCCACTGCTTTCTCAAAGTGCCACCAACTGTAGAAGGTCCGAGAAAGATACATAGTTGCAGATAGACGACAGTGATAATGAGAAAGCACAACTATCCTCTATCAATTTACTTGTTCACAGTGTTAGCATAAGTAAATGAGGGCGCAGTGTAAAAGCATAAATTATGTGGCTTATTTACAGAATAAATATCAAGAAATGACGGCCTAACTGAGTTGTTTTTGCAACAAACTGATTAAATAAATATCGTGCCTTAAATAGATCGTTCTGATAGGTGTTATAAAATGCCTCTGATGTTTTTTCTACGATGGCAAATGAATAATTTTATGATCCCGATGATTCAGGGTTTTATTCGAAGTTGTTGCTGTTCTGATGAATATTGACGATCGATGACTATCAATCAATGGCTCCAATTGTGATAGCCAGTCCAGTGCTTCTGACTCCTTCCTTTCGTTATATTTTCGATAATGACTCAGACAATTCTTTTTTATTCAACTAAACCAATGATGGTGAATCATACAGAGTCGTGCGGAATACTTATGGTCAGGTCATCAAAATTTCGTCGTATTTCTGCCATAGTATGCTCAACTTTGACCAGAAAAAGTAATACTTAACAGTTAACACTAATGAGCTTCTTTCAGTTGGGTAGATCTGAGTGTGCAATTGTAGTCAATACAGCAAAACATGGTGGTATAGACTTAAACAACTTAGTTTCAACAGAGAGTTTTGAATAAAATTACTAAAAATTATATCTTGTAGAAAATGTCAAAATCTATCACCTGTATGAATTACACGTCGTTCGGGCTTACCATTTAATTAGCAACACAAACGCATTCTTCGAGCGACTTGTAGTCACTTAATGTATTTTGCAGAATTCTAGTACATTTTTTCACATGATTTTTGATAGTCTAATTAAGATGGTATGTTTAGTATTGTGTAATCGAAGTAATATTAAACTTTTCTTACTCTACAGATGCTTCTCTATCTCTTGAATAAAAGAAAAATTATAAAATATAATTCTTTTTAAAAGTCATTGAGAAATATGTTTGTTTGTTTGACTGTACAAAATATATATGTGTTTACACTTCAGAAATGCATCTCTTTACCATCGGATCCTCGATATAACGTTCCAGGTGTAATCTGTAATACCTTAACAAGTAACATTTTCCATCACATACTTTAAATTTTAAGATATTCAAATTTTTTTACTGTACCTCCAGTTCTTACATCCTCTTGAACTTTTCCATTTTGTTTTGTTGTGAAACTAGTCTCTGTAACTCGGTGATATTCAAACTCTGACTTTTTCGTGTAAATTACACGAACTGACCATAATTACCCGAAATCATATTTTGTAAAGAGTACACATTTTTGTAGTTGGTAATTAATTAAATAACGGTAAGCCCGAACGACGTGTAATTCATACAGGTGATAGATTTTGACATTTTCTACAAGATATAATTTTTAGTAATTTTATTCAAAACTCTCTGTTGAAACTAAGTTGTTTAAGTCTATACCACCATGTTTTGCTGTATTGACTACAATTGCACACTCAGATCTACCCAACTGAAAGAAGCTCATTAGTGTTAACTGTTAAGTATTACTTTTTCTGGTCAAAGTTGAGCATACTATGGCAGAAATACGACGAAATTTTGATGACCTGACCATAAGTATTCCGCACGACTCTGTATATTTGGAAAACTTTACAATAAGAAATTCATTCTAATTAAAAAATCTGTCGCTAAACAAAATATGAAAGTTTTTTCCGCCTTCGTACTTTTTTTTTGTCGTATGTTGGTACACTAAAAGTGATAATAGAACGCTGATCTGAGATAATCTTATAACGTTTTGTTTTACTATAGATGTATTATTCTATTTAATATTGTATTGCAAATGAGTCAAAAAAAATTACATCCAAAAGTTTAGGTAATTACTTTGCCTTTTAATAAATTTTTATATTTTTCATTATGTGTTTGTTTATGTAGCCTGATTGTTGCGTGTAAATTATTATTAAACGTCATCAAATGGAAAAATTACATCGTCTTGTTAGACGTGAATATAGTCTGATGTACCATCGACAAACGAAACTTGCTGAAGAGACCGGAAGGTATTTAATTCATAGAAATAAATATTGTTATTTTTCATCGGTGAAATGAAATTATCATTTTGTTTTCTTCAGACAATTAATTCAAGCATGTGTTAAACGGATGAACAATCGTGTTGATCTCTTTAAACAATTGCCAAATCTCACGATACCGTTATCTGATACGAACTACACATGTTCCGTCGATGTAAATAGTGGAAAAACAATGAAAACTATAAAACTAACGTCAAATGCAATTATCTTATCACCGAAACCGTCTGTTTTAGAAATGATTGCATACGTACCAACACAAAAAAATAGAGCGGTACTTAGAAATTTTCTCTCGCTATCAGGTTTATTAACAGATGTTGTCCATTGTTTTAGCCTCTTGAAAAGATGAAAGTTTTACCTTACCTTGGTGACGATACTTCAGTTGAAGATCGTAAATTAATTGACGCATTTGCACAAGATAATAATTCAGATGAACAATCTGAACGAAGTACATATGTTAATGTCCTATCCATATTTGCACTTCATTGTTTCCTTTTTTTAACAGAGAACAAGTTAAATAACGAGTCACTTGTACAATTGTTACGAGAAATTATGGATGAAGTAAAAAATTTTGAGGAATCATTTACAGATGAACAAATTATCGATGCAATTATTGGTAAGTGTGTTTCAATTATCAATTTATTTTTAAGAACTTATCAACTATAATCTCTTCGTTTAAATAAAAGTTTGACGTAACTTATTCATTTTCCATTGAAGATTGTGAAGATGGAAGTGAAAAATCTGAAGTATTTTTTATGTCATTGATTAGAATTCTAGAAAAACAGATAAGGAGTTTTATGGTGGACTTTCATAGTTTTTTCGAGTATGACCAACATATATCTGTATGATATTCTTTTAGCACATCATCGTGATGCATCAGCGACCGTTTTACTTCGTACAACAATGGCCAACTGTCATCATCGTCAAACAGTAAATCATGTTAAAAACGTTCAAACACCTCATTTAAATTCAAAATCTACAAGTTCACCACGTTATTTATCTAATAATCAACAATCAGCAATATCTACAACAAAATCTACAAGTTCACCACGTTTTTTATCTAATAATCAACAATCAACAGTATCTACAACAAAATCTTCTAGGCGATCGTTAAAAGAAACTTTTGAGCAAATATTACCATTTGATGATAAAAAATTAAATCGAAAAATTACTAAAATTAATGATGATGATGATGATAATGACGAAAATCAAGATCGATTTCTTCCCAATATTGATAAAACAGATTCGATCGACGTTGATATTGAATTATTAGTTCACTCGTATTATAAATTATTTTGTTCACGTTGCTATATTTATGATTGTCCATTACATCCACATAAAAATCGTCCAGTGAGTATAAAATAAATAAATTAGTGTTAGCAACCTTTAGGATAAGTAAAACGAAACAAGCAATTTTGTTAGTATCTCACTTTTGTTTCATCTTTATCTGCAATTTGTAAAAGATGACGAATATGCTATATGTTCGTTATTTTTATTCTCTGTAACATTAATCACTTTTATTTAGGAACGCCCATTTCCAAAACAAGTTTTCATATCTGAGCAAAAACAGATGACAACAGAAAATAACGATGATAATAATAATTATTGTAATTGGACATGTTACAAGCGAAATCAATGGTTACCAAAACGAGAAAATTCAAACGATTTTTTATCATTTTCTGAGGAAGAAGAAGAAGAAGAAGAGCAACAACAAGAAAAATCTGAAAATAATTCACCGATCTATAATTCTCGATTAGCATTAAAGCGTAAACTATCATCCTCACCAACGTCAATATTTACTCATGTTCAAGAAGAATTTGATAAATCAAAAAAGTCAAAACAAAGTTACACTAAAAATTTTGGTCAAGGACAACCGACAGTGAAAGACGATGCTGCTAATAATTGCAAAAGTGTTGGTGAATGTTCAGTGAAAAATGTTGATTGTATTTATCTGGATAGTGACAGTGAAGAAGAAGTGATGAATAAGTACAAAAATGTTCAAAATGGAATTGTTTCGACTTCAAAAAGATCAACATCAAATATTCAAAGTAAGAATATTATTTTTCCCAGGTTGTAAGAACACAAGGCGTGAGAAAGAATTATTGTTTTGTTTAAAAGAAAAAAAATTGTTCAAGTTATCGGTTGTTAGTTGGATATCGATATTATATATAACTAAAAAATAGGAAACCTTCGTTAACCGTTCACCTTCTAGCGAAGAGTTCTAGTTCATTGTTCGTACAACTTCGTTTGTGATCAAAGTCACTTTTTTTCTTTTCCTTTCAGATGATTGTGAATCACCGATAATTGAAATTGATGTTTCTCTTGATATTTCTCCGTTAAATAAGCAAGAACCATATGGACAGTCACAACAACTCGTTTCTATCGAAAACAATATGTTTAGTCAAATGAATCGTCAAAATGAAATATCAATGTACTGTGATTCGAAATTATCACTACAAACTGCATTATATCAAAATGATAATCAAAATTGGACACTATCAGATCGATCATTATTTCGGGCGTTTTATTTTACAATGAATGGTGATCTTTGTTTAATTGGTCAATTACTAGGTAAAGAATGTCATATGATATATGAACAATATCTGAAGGATACTCAATATTTTGCCAATTATATTATTGAATCAAATTCACCAAGAAAACGTTCAAATAAAATACAACTGTGTCGTTCTATACCAAAAAAACATCTTTCATCACGATCTCAACGTTTTATAAAAAATGAATCGAAACATTGTCGTACTCTTCCTGTGACATTAGATGATGATATAGAAAAACTACCAAAATCTAAGAAGGGAAAAAATCAGCGAAAAAGTGAACAACAACAACAACAATTAATCACAACATTGAAGGGTTTTTATGAACCATGTTTTCATGATGGTGAATGTTCAATGGACAATAATTGTTTATGCGTGATAAATGGAACATATTGTGAAAAATTCTGTCAATGTTCATCATTATGTAGAAAACGTTTTCCTGGATGTGGTTGTAGAGGTTCATGTACGACTAAATCGTGTTTATGTTTCTCGGCTGGAAGGTAAGACATTTGATTTCGTTGGTTGTAAAGTTAGTCTGTTACAATGTTAGAGTTCAAGAATCTAAAAATTGTGTGTAAAGCAGAGATACACGTGCGACGGGAAATCTGTGGAGAAAAAAATCCTGTTGTTTGGGGAACATGTCTAGAACGAGCTGAAAATTGATGAGGCGAGATTTAAGCGAAGTGAAACCTTTTTTTGACTGTATATGTAATTATTATTCAGCGAAGATCTAATCTAGACCCACAAACAGTAAACGACATTATCATGGTCCATTCTGTAGAAAAATAAATATTTTCGATTTATTTTTGTGTGTATTACTATAGCTGTTCTGAAATAAAACATGATGTTTTGTGAGAACGAAAATTTAAGAATATCAACGATGAAGAGGAAAAACGCTGGTCGACACAACGCGAAAAACATTATTCATCGGGGAGGATATGAGACGGTTTCGAAAGTGATAGAATAAGACATGACAGACCCTAAAAAATGAGTCAGCCGTGTTCTGAAGTCTAAAAGAAATACAGCAAATTTCTTGCACGTTGTTGAAGAATAAGATTTTCATATAAGAATGTGTATATACTTTTTTAGAGAGTGTGATGCAGATCTATGTTATGGTTGTGGCGCAGCGCGTTTTCCACCGATTGATTATTATTTAAATGAAGAAAAGCAGAATTATTATATGCATCAGTCAAATTTAGCACATCAGATGAATAATGAAATTCCAAAAGTTCATACGTAAGTACATAGTTATTGTTCAAAAATTAATTAACTGAGCAGTGATTATTTGAAAGGGCTCTGACGTTTATGAGTTTGAGCCGTAAAAATTAGTTTTCAGCATTCAAACTACATACTCGATATTACTCTGTATTTTTAACAATTGACTTGAGTTATGAAAAAGTTAATAACATGAAGTTTTAATATATGAGAACATAGAATACAGTAGTGGCTATTAATGTTTTAGAGACAATATAAAAAATAGTTCGAATAAACGACTGAGTGTTGATATTGAGGAAGAATATGAAGATGAAAAAGACGAAGAAATTAAACAAGAAGTAAAGAAGCGAAGATCTGATAGAAGAGTATCGTTATCACGGGAATATAGTTTAAGAAGTACAAAATCACCACCGACAACAACGACAGCCACAACACGAATTCTAAAAAAGATAAAAAAGAAACCAGTTAAACAACCACCCTCATCGTCAAATGTACTGTTGCCAACACTATCAGCTTTACCAATTAGTTGTGCAAATACATCACTTCAACGTCGTTTACATAAACAAATATTAATTGCACCATCGGATGTCGTTGGATATGGTGCATTTTTGGGTTTAACGGCAGCAAAAAAAGGAGACTTAATAGCCGAATATACAGGTAATACTTTTTTTTTCTCGTTTTATCCATGTATAATTGATCATCTGTTATGCTATATTATTTTTTAGGAGAATTAATATCGCAAGAAGAAGCTGAACGAAGAGGGGCTTTGTATGATCGTCTAAGTCGTTCTTATTTGTTTAATCTTGATTCGGAACATGTTATTGATGCAGCAAGATTTGGCAACAAAGTTCGGTAAGTTAAATTTGTCGAATAATTTAAGTTTTCTGTAGATATATCTTCAATGAATAAATTGTTACACAAATTTGTAAACTATGATGAAACGATTTACAAAAAAGCATTAATCCAATTCTATTTTATTTTTACTTTGAAGTTTTGCCAATCACTCAAATAAACCAAATTGTCGTGCTCAAATGAAAATGGTTAATGGAGATTATCGTATTGGCATTTATGCAAAACAAGATATTAATGTTGGTGATGAATTATTTTTCGATTATTATTATGGAATACAATCAACGGAAAAATTTGTTGGTTTAGAATTAGGAGAAAAACATACTGAAGATGGCATACGTATTTTAAGAAAATATCCAGACGGTTCACTTTTAGTTCGACCGTCGATTGAACTATAGACAACAATAAAAATCAAAAAACATTTTTATATATTTTTGTTATAAAAAATTTTCTACGTGTTTCTTACTAATTTTTTCTTGTTGATCATTTGTTATTACTCTCGATTCTACAACGTGCAAAATAGTCGACATTTTTTTATTTGTGTTTTATAAACACACCAATTTTCGTCTATAGTTTTTTGTGATATCATATCTTGTTACTGGTGAAAGAACTATAATAAACTACTCGCCTATTGATTAGCTGTTTTTTTGTTGTTTTTTGTCGTACTGTTTAACTTACGAGGTCATATTTTCTGTAGAAAAATAGGACATATGAGAAACTTTGTGCTAGTACAAGTATGAAATTTACTTGTGAATAAGAACATTTGACTAGTGTTTGAACTCACTTAATTCTTTTTGTAACATTGCAATATTGTTTGTTTGTTTTACTCTTTTGTTTCCCGGTAGGAAAAACATGAACATTTTCCCCATGTCAAGTTTGTTCTTCCATTTTGTTCTCTTGTTTTTGTTGATGGTTGTAGACTAGTGTAAAGATATTTTTTTTTGTTTCTATTATACTGATCCGTATCGAAGATAATTTACCAGTGAACAGTCTAGAAGAGCAATTTAAAAAACGTCTATATACATATCTATTTTTTGTTGTTTACTTTTGGTTTATTTTTTTGCGACGAAACAAATTTTCTTATATGTGCGTGTATCTGTGTAAGACACTTTAAAAAACGTGATTGAAAAGATTGCGTCGGTTACTATTGTGGTGTGACAAACTATTTTTTGATATATCGAACTTTTTTCTATTAAAGATGAAATCTATAATCTTCTAAAGTTC